ATCTTCTAGATTTTTCTTGAAATTTATAGCCACAAAAATGTAACTGTTTGGACAGTTTCTTATCTCCTAAATTAATTCCATATTTATCCATTGAAATTCATTTGAACAAGTCTTTTATCTTCTGAGACCGTATTTGCCTGAAAATATCATCAATATTGATGTTGCAAGGAAAACACAAACTGCCTTTTGCAAAGTGTCACAAACTAATTCCAGGCAAGGGACAGGATTATCGGCCTAAACCCTCTCTGCTTGGGGTGGGGCGGGCTTCGTGCTTCTTAGAGGCTGAATCCCCTATTCTCTGTCCAGTTCCTTCTCTCAGCTCCTGCTTTGTCATCTTGCTTCGACTCAAAGCATTTTAGGGTCAGGTTATAGAAAGAGAAACTTAGTCTCTGGAACTTTGTTTTTAACCTGCCACCCCTAGTTCCCACCCAGCAGAGCAGCACTTCTTAGATAACTAGCATTTGGGGCCGGAATGAAGAATACATCAAATATTTAGTTTTCCCAATTAATAGGATGTCCTCTGATCCTCTAAAGAATTTTTTTCACCCACACAATTCTCTCTGAGGGAAAAAAAAGAAGGTTCAAATTCCCTGCACCAGCAAAATCTCATTAAAAATGAATTTCAACGTGAGTATCAGAGCCAGGGCACCAAGTTCGACTATGACGTTTGTTACAATTCTGTTGATCATAGGCCTTTCTCAAGTACTAATGAAGCACTCCATTGAAGAAAAAAATAGCAGGAACTAACAGATGTTCGGTGGAAACTAATATAGTAGATTTTTTTTCTGTATGACTCAATCAAAAAACACCTTAGGAAGAATACTGAAATTTGTTTTTAGTTTTGGTTCCTTGTTGTATTTCTTAGTAGAACTGATTAACCTCATTCTGCAATTTGTAACTCAATAATTTCCTTTAAGAGGCCATCTACTTCTGTGGGTAAGGCACACTTTAAGGAGATCTAATCCCAGGAGAATGGGGTAGGGGAAAGGTAAACTTTAATCAAGTGTACCATAATTTCAGTATATTTTATCCATTGAATCTTTTAAATACCTTTAAGACATACATTTTTATTAAATCGGTTTATGCACAAATACAGCAAGTGTCTTTTGCTACTCGTGGAAAGACTGAGAGTGTTTAGCACCTAGGAAACTTCTCCAAATGTCATCTCTTCCATTAGAACTTCCGTTTCTGCTCTTAAATCACAAGGTTATTGCCAGGGCTAACCCTTCCATGACAACGAAATACAGTGGGCATTTGCAAGCGGTATACACTGGTTTCATCCAATATGTGAAACAGGTAAAACTTCCTTTGCAGTGGAGAAACACTTTAATCTCCTATGGCTGTTCAGTATTTTATTGATAAAACAAGAGGTAACTGAGCTGTCCTGAGGTGGAATGGCTGTCTCTCTGGAAACTCAAGCACGTGGTAGAGAATTTCTGCCCCTGTAATCCGCCTCAATCCGGAGTCCGGCAGGGCGAAGAACCTCTGATTGATTTGACAGCGGTGTACACAACATCTTCATCATGGCTTTAAGGACCTGCTGAAACCTGACATTCTGGCAAGAGCCACTTTCATTTGAAAACTGGAAATGTGAGGAGATGTGAGGGACCAGTTGCAAGTAGTCTTGAGTGTGGTACACGATTCAGCTTGGGTTAGGAAATCATTCAAAAGAGTGCTTAGAGGAAGAGCCCTAGAATATATCACTGGAACCTTAAATTCATTATGAAAAAGTCTGGATGGTGCTTTTTGATCTGTGAGATCAAAAAGTGCTCTGACTGTGAGAAGGTCATTACTGATGCAGTCACATCAGTGACCACCAAAGGTATCACACAGGCTTCCTCTGCCAAGGTCCCGCCCCTTCCCTGGGGAGCAGGAGAAGGCTGCAGCCCTCAGCCCCTGTGCAGCCAGAGAAACACCCACTCAGGTCCACACTTACCTTGCGCCCACCCCAGCTGAGTGAAAGGCTGACAGCTAACTGCTTCGCAGGCATTTGGGAGGATGCAAAAATTGAAAAGAACTGGAGTTAACCCTACCAAAGTCACATGAGAAAGCAGTAGGAATGTAAGATCCCAAATGCTTCTGCAAGTAGTTTTCAGGTGTGTACTTATTTTATCTTTCTTTTTTCTATTTTTACTCATAGTTAAAATATTTATGTGGGTAGAATTTTCTACTGCTTTGCAGTTAAATCAGCCTAGGACAATTATGTCTTAGGGGAGGGTACCTGGAATCAAACTCAGGACCTTGAGCTTTCCAGGCGCTGTGCAGCTGAGTTATATCCCTGGCCTTAACAATTATGTCTAATGTGATGATTTACCTTTTAATTTTTTAAAAATTAAAATACATTTGCAAAAACAGTAAGTGCAACTGTGAATATATTTTACTTTGAAGGATCTGAAAAAATACAAAGCTGATAAACATATTGAGGGTAAGGAGCTATAAATATATAACAAAGTTTAAAAAATGTGTGTTTATAAATATGGCTGTATATATGCAATCAAATTCTAGGCAAAATCATTGAATTAAAGTGCGTGTTTCACAAAATGAAATAGCTCGGTTCTGATTTTGTGGTTCAGAACCCAAGTGGGATGTTTTTCCCTACAGTCAATGCCAATGTTCTTCTTCTTTATTTTTTTTTTGGTACCAGGAATTGAACTCATGACCACAGGCTTGCCAGGCAAGTGCTTATGCTGCTGAACTATATCCCTGGCAATAAATTATTTCTGTGAAGTAAATTTTGTTTTATTTATTTATTTGGGGGGGGTACCAGAAATTGAACTCATGACCTCGCGCTTGCCAGGCAGGCACTGTGCTGCTGAGCTAAATCCCCAGCCCTTCAACCTGCTATCTGTTTTACTAAGAGTTTTTTATTTTTCCTGGAACACACTGAATGTTTCAAGATTAGACTTTGTACAGGTGAAAGGGATACACTTCTAAATGTACTTATCCTATGTAGTTTTGAACAAAATAAACTTGCTGTCGTACCCTAAGTAACAAGACCTGTAGTAAAAAGTACCTCATGAAATGTAAAACATGTACAAAAGCAAATAGTGAAACTCGGCAATGTCAACACTAATGTGTGGTGTTTGGGGCGTCCCGTCCCCTGACAAGCCCTAGGTGCTGTGCGGTCCCAACACCCGTCCTTAGAGTAATCCGAGGGGCAGACAAGCCTCTTGGCCTCGGTGGCCTTAATCCATTGACCTAGCACAGAAAGTACTCAGGATAACAAGTGCAGCAATGAGGCAAATCAACCTGATTTTCAGATTTTGTGTTCCTTACAAGGCTACCTGATCAAAAAGGCCCGCAGCAACTGACAGACGCAGTAGGACTGTTTGAGGAGTCAATCTAGGGACTTGAAGGGAAAACTTCTCCACCTCCTCCCCTCCCTCCCCTCCCAGCTCCACCCCTCCCCTTTCTTCTCTCCTCCTCTTCTTCCCCCTCTTCTCCCCTCCCCCTCCCACTCCACCCATCCCCCCTTCTCATCCCCTCCCTCCCCTTTTTCCCCCTCCTCCTTCCACTCTGCCCCTCCCCCTCCTCTCCTCCCCCGTCCTCCTCCCCTTCCCCTCCCCCTTCTCAGCACAGCACCTAGCATGCGCGGAGGGGAAGTGGGACTGCTCTTTCTCTACTGGCCTGTAAGCATGAAGTCCTGAAAGCTGACAATATTAGGTCATCTTGTATGGGATTTCTAAACTATCTTTAGTAAGTGATTATGCTTTTAATTGTGAGATTCCCCTTTCCTTTTAGCTAAGAAATCTCCATGTTATTGAAGATGAGTGCTTTCCACTGTATTTGAAGTATTGAAGGCGGTAGAGAAAGTTCTCTCCTGATTCCTATGATAGGAACCCCTCCTCGAATCCTATGGGCACATCAGCTTTGTGGAGGACTGAAAGAAAAATCAGAGAAAACACCGCAGAACGCTGCCTGCCTTACTAGTGGTGTTTGTAGGACTCCCTGAACACATGGCATGTGTCCCACAGAAAATTTAATAACCCTTCAGCAGTTGTGAGGACTCAGAAATATTCTCTTCATGCCGGTCCTTGACTCTCAGCGGGACTTTTGTGAACTTTGTCATCTTCCGCTGACCTTGAAGCCAAAACTAGGGAAGTGGCTTTAATTAATGAGATGTAATGCATTAAAATGTTAGCCAGAGCCTTCCAGAAGCTGGGAAGCCATAGATGTTTTAAAATTCTGAATATCCTTTCGAGAATCCCCTGTTGTAATTTATAATTCTCAGCGGACCTATATTTGTCTTGAACTGATTGTTGAAATGGGCTTTGCTAGGAATTTCTTCACTGAAATTGCAGCAGGGCAGGGGCTGGGGTGGAGGAGCCTACAGTTTGCTGGGAGGAGGGCGCGATTTCTAACGAGGCTAGAAAACCTTCAGTGGTTGAAGTTACACCAGTAAGGAGGTTATATGCGTGTCTGTGCACATAGGCACACACACAGTGCGCCAGTTCAGCAGTACTGTGTAATGAGTGTGTCATGCAGGTAGCAGAATTCACATTTTTTAAATCAACGTTGCACCCAAAAATGGCTATAAAACAATGCTTGCCTGGAGAAGTAAATTTATAGCTACACGCCTTTCACAGGCTCGCTGGAGGGCTGTGCTCCCGGCTCTAATCTGCAGGAGAGGAGATGTTTTTTGCATGTGTGTGACAGGAGGCAAGGGGAACTGCGAGCTTGCCTGCTCCCCCCTTGTCAGCCCGGCCGGCCGGGGAGCTTGGGGTCCTGTCTGCAGGGTCCTGGGAGCTCTCGGCTCCATGTGCACAAGAAAAGTCTGCGCTGCGCTGCTCTGGCTCTCTCTCTAGCTCTCTCTCTCTCTCTCTCCAGGGTCCTGGGAGCTCTCGGCTCCATGTGCACAAGAAAAGTCTGCGCTGCGCTGCTCTGGCTCTCTCTCTAGCTC